CCGCATCGGGCTCCCTGCTCTGCGGGAGGTCTGCTTCTGCCTCTCCCACTCCCCCTGCTTGTGTTCCCTCTCTCGCTGTGTCTCTCTCTGTCAAATAAATAAATAAAATCTTAAAAAAAAAAAAAATCCTGTATTTCTTCAGAAGGATTTCTTTTTGTTATGAAGTCAAAGATCAAAGTGACTCAGTGTTCCATGAGCTGGGTGTTTTTGTAGAATGAGCAGTAAATTTATCTCCTAACAAGCCTGGGTTAATTAAAATTACACCGCCTGTCTCTGGTAATCATCAGGAAAGGATATTCTGTTTCTTATTTTATTCCTAAGACTTCTTTTTTTTTTAAACTCCTGTGTTCCTGCCAGATCTGGTGAGCGTGACAAAGCCCAGGCACATCCCCAGAGCACACAACGTTTCTGGTTCTTTGGATGCTGATAGAGATGTGGCTACACAGGGGCGGATGTCGTGGGAGGTCTAGGGACCTAGGGCCCGGAGAGCCACCTAGGGGTGCCTCCCTCTGATAATGACCCCAGCTACATCTGAGGATGGAAACCACATCACCTAATTGTCTTGACATTCAAGTATCAATTTAAATGTCACCTACAGAGAGGCCTTTTAGTGACCTCTTCTGCAGAAGCTTGCCCTACTCCTTGCCCATTCCCTTACCCTGTTTTAATTTTCTCCCATAGCTCCATCTGAAACGGTGTATTGATGCACATACATATGTTTTACCTGCCTTGCTGGGTGGGATATAAACCTCAGAAGCAAGGGCAGCATCTGCCTCATCCCTGCTGTATCCTCAGCACCCAGGAGAGTGTCTGACACGAGAAGACACTTGACAAATACTGAGAGCAGGGATTTCTTGCTTTCCATTTGAACAGCTCCTTGCAGCCCTGTCCCAAAGTCAGGTCTCTCCAGCATCCCTTTGCAACTTCCCTTTTTGGCATTTTGTCTCAGAAGTTCCAGAGGGCTCCTGATGAGGGGCCTGTCTCCTGCAATATGCCCTCTTCTTTCCCAGGCCAGATGCCAGCAACCCCTTTCCACCCAAAGGGCCCAGAAAATAGTCTTTCTGCCTCCAAAAAAAAAAGACAGTTGCTCCCTACAAGGGTTGAGCAGTTTTGAAAATTTTTTCATGCCAGGCCTTAGGCCAAAACTCTTCATCAAAGCAGTCATCTTCCAGCTGGCCAAGCACAGAGAGTCCTTCCCCACTAAGGCTGGGATTCATTGTCAAATAGATTTCCTAAGTAAAACTTTGTCTACTCTATAAATATTTAGCTGGAACATAAAATATTAACATTCTCCCACATACTCCAGGGAGAAAGCACATTGCCAGAGCCTCAGATAGTCTGGGGCTGAAAGCCTTTTCAGTAATTACCTACAATCAGGTGCAGTGGCCTCCCTCGTGTGCGTGCCTCCTCCACTGGTCACTGCTGTATTAAACGTTCTGTGCTTCAGTTAGCGGACGGGCACGCTCGGACCCGGTGAGCCCCCAGCCTGGCCGTTCAGGGAGAGGGAGCTTGGCCTGAATTAGGCCTCTTTTGCAAATCCTCTTCCTCAATTTCTTTGATCACTAACAGCTCACAGCTCCTCCGGTGGGAGGCTGGTGTTGCTGCCCTATCAGCACATTCCTGGGTGCACAGGTGAGGGACGCCTGCCCCAGGGTTGTCTGTTCCCTTCTGCCTGGTCTCCTGATCCCTTTGCGGTTTGCCCTGAGATTAGAAGTGGAGGGTCCAAGGAGCCAGGGCAGGTGGGCCAGGAGGTGGCGCCCCCAGCCCCCCAGTGAGGGGGAGCAGAAGGCTGGGGGAAGGGAGCCCGGAGAGCCCAAGCTGAGAAGGCAGACCCCAGGGCCTGGTTGCGCTGGCTGGAGCACCACAGAAGCAGAGGCATACTAACTGGAAGTGCCCCTGGAGCTCACGTGGCAAGACTTCAGACTCTAGGTCCATGTGGCCAAACAGCCGTGCCCAGGAATGTGGACAAAGTGGCAATCTGGACGAGGCTGAAGCCAGGGCCAACATCCTGAATTGTCCTTTTGAAAGAGTTGTTGCTTGGCTCTCAGGCCTCACTGTGGCTCTCTGCTCCTTGCTGACCTTCGCTCAACCATTGGCTCATCTCTCTCCTTTTTCCTATCCCTTCTTCCTCAGCAGGTCCTAGGAGCTTCTATGGACCAGCCCCCACCTTACAAAGTCTTACCAGTCTGCATATAGAGCTGGGTTCTAGTGGCCTGGGCAGGGACACTGGTGGGATGCGGCCAGGGGACCCGGAGACCTCTTACAGGGCTGGATGGGCCCCGCTTCTCACATGCCTTGTGCTGTGGCTTGAATTTGCAGTTTGTGACTAGCAGGTTCCAAAGCTCCTATTTATTCTTGAGGTTGCCTTGTTTCTATTTTGAGTCTGCTAATCCAAATCACAGTTTGGTGTTTCCACGGAAACAATTCAGTGATTGTTTGGTTTGCCAAGATGAGCGCGGGGGAGAGAAGCAAATGACGTAAAACAGTTTTAGTTTCTCAAATATGACTCTCATTGTCTCCCCGAGAAGCCTTTGGTGCCAGCCCCCTGAAAACCTGAGGAAGTTGTATTAAAATAAATGTTCTAGACTCCTGTTCCCCTTCTGGTTAAGTCCCTGGAGACCCACTCCCCGAACACCCCTGCTGTGTGTAGATGAGCACACATCTGCCCAGTAAAGCAGATGACAGAGGCAGGAAGGTCTCCTTGGGGCACCTCAGGGAGCCAGGGATGCAGAGACAGGCGTCCAGGTCACCAGGGAAATGACCACATGGCTACCCCTGTTAGTCTGGGACTGGAGAGCCAGAGGCTCAGGGCTCATCGGCTTTAACTAAACAGCTGTGTTTCTACAGTGAAGAAAAGCTCCTCATTCAAGGATCCCAGGATGAATTACCCCTCTGGTAAATCTGAATTTTTACATAAAGGCTTAGCTAAAACAGCAATATGTCTGTCTGTCCCTCCAGGGAGAGCCAGGTCCCTCCTGCATGCTGACCCCTGTTCTCAAGGACCAGTCTCCTCTACAGGCAGAAATAATCCTTTCTTTTCAGTCTTCCAGGGTTAGGGCTAGGCCCCCATTCCCAGTACCCGCTCCCCGTGCAAGGACCCTGGGGGAGCATGAATGGAATGCTGAGAAGCAGCTCCAGGAGACCTAGAGCTTCCAGTCACTGGGACCCGACATCCTCAAGGTCAAGGTCCTGTGAGTCCTCCCATTGTGGGTCTAGCATCTGCCCCAGTTTTTGGGGACTGTGAGGGTCAGCTCTGGGCAGTCAGCTGGTGGAGGATACCCATGGCTAGTTGGTGGAGATGGGAACTTTAAGAAGCCATACATGCCCACTGCAGACAGATCAGAAAATATGGGCAAGGGGAAAAAAAGACAAACCCCCTTGTCCCTCCATAACAATCTCCGTGCGTGCTGTGCTCACACACACATCTGTACAAACTGGAGATCAAGTGCACTTTTAAAAAATAAATACATTTTAAATTTTGGAATAACTTTAGATTTACAGGAAGGTTACAATGACAGTTTGTATCTACCCTTCACCCAGCTTCCCCTAATCTTACATAACAGAGGCATATTTGTCAAAGTTAAGAAAAATACATGAACTCTAGCCTTTATTTAGACTTCACCAGTTTTTCCATTGTCTTCTTCCTGTTCCAGGATGCAATCCAGAATACCACACTGAGATTGAATCAATGTGTCTCCTTAGTCTTCACTAGTCTGTGGTGGGTTTTGAGTCTTTCCTTGTTCTTCATGACCTTGACGATCTGGAGTGCTGGCCAGGCATCCTGCAGGACATCCCCCAGGCTGGGTTTATCTGACATTCAGCTTGTGATTAGACCGAAGACATGGGGTTTGGGTAAGGACCTGACAGAGGTAGAGCCCCCTTCTCCTTGCTCCCTATGGTGGGGCGGTGGGGGGGAGGCTGGCATCCACACATCACTGGTGCTGTTCCCCTTCATCACTTGCTTAGGTGCTATCAGGCTTCTCCATAGAAATTTACTGTTTGGGGGCACCCGGGTGGCGCAGTTGGTTAAGCGTCTGCCTTCGGCTCGGGTCCTGGGATCGAGCCCCGCGTCTCTCCCTCTGCCTGCCGCTCCCCCTGCTTGTGCAAGCTCACTCTCTCTCTTTCTGACAAATAAAATCTTTAGGAAAAAAAAAAAGAAATCTGTGTTTCTCTTTCCCTGCTTTGTTCCTGGGAAGTGAGTCACTAAGTCTAGCCCGGCCTCAAGGGGCGGTGAAGGGATAGGGGTTGGATTAAGCGCCACCTTCTCTATGGGAGACTCTCCACATCAACGCTTCTTATTTGGAGTGCACTGTTGTGAGCCCTGGCTTGGATATCAGGACATCTCTCCACGCACACAGCCATTCTTCACCCGAGCTGGGAGGCCCAGGATGCTGTGAGCCTTTCTTCTCATTTGCTCCTGTCCTTCCTAAGGGAGAAGGAACTCCCCAACTCCACAGGCTGTGAGTGCTTACTAAGGGTGCCCCTGCAGGGACTGAAGGTCAGGTGGCCGGGGTGGAGTCTCCGGGTAATCTTGTCCCCGTCTGCCCCAGGCAGGGCAGTGGTGGTGGCTGTCCCCGCAGGGGAGGCCCATCCCACAAGGTGGCCACCCCGCTAAGGAGTAGGTGGGCAGTCTCCACCTGAGAGCCTGCAAGAGTCACCAGACCCGGGTCACCGGCTTTGCAGCCTGCCCTGTGCTCAGGTCCGTAGCCTAAAAGATGGCCTGGCAAGGTGGCCCCTTGGCCACTGGGCCTTCCTTCCCAGTTCTTTGGGTCTTACCAATAGCCCCTGTGCCAGCCTCCTCACCCCCATGCTGCCCATCTGAGCCCAGAAGGCAGGCACTTCTCTGAGACTCTGTTTTTGGGAGGCATCAGACCTTCCCGATAGCTTATGATGTTTCCTGAAAGAACATCATGGTTTTGAGACATTTGTCCAAATAATTTCTGATGATGTCCTTGTCCTTTCTTTCCAGGGGTGTGGCTGGAGCCAGCCCTGCCAGGCTTTTAGGGCTAGCTCCTTCTTTACTCCCACCCATCTTGCCCCACTACCTGTGGCTTCCAGGGTTTCCAGGCCTGGAGTGGGATGCATGAGGGCTCAGGCATGAAGGGGATGGGCAGGACCTGTGCTTACCTTTTCCTCCCACTGCCCTCGATTGGGGGCCCAGGTGTCTGATGTGGGGGGTGTGGTGGGGAGGCCTCATGGGAATGTCCGGTCAGGAGGGGATCAGCCCCTCCAACACAACTATTAGGCCCCTGCAGAGGTCTTCAAGCTGAACAGGGTCAGGGTTGGGGGTGCTGAGGGGAGGTTGGTCTGGACACGAGGAGGGTATGGAGCCCATGCAGAGGACAGCCCTGTGCACAAGGTGTGCAAGGTGTACAAGGGTAGGAGGGCTTGGGGCCACCATCTGTGCGGGCTGGGCTGGCCTGGGCTGGGCTGGTCCCAGGGGGTGCGTGAAGCCCACCCTGGTTGTGGTCCTAGTACTTCTTCAGGGGCGCATGGAAAAGAGCCCCAGGAGACACAGCAGAGGCCTACGACCGGCACCCACCTTGGGTACTTAGTGTATTAAACATCAGTCAAAAAACACATTTGAGACGTCAAGAAAAGTGAAAAGAATCAACAGTAAGAAACAATTCAAAGCAATAGAATAAAAAAAAATTGGGCTTTCAGCTTAAAAAGGGACACAAGTAGAAGTTCAAGAGGGTGTGGTCACTCCGATCCTGCCAGCCCCGGGGCAGTGGCCCCCGGCGGCACTGACCACAGCCTCAACCGCAGCCTCCTTCTGGGAAGAACCAAAGCTCCGGCCGACGGCCCTTACTCGATCTGGTATTTAAAAGAGGTCATCAAATTGTAGTCCTCTTCCAAGTCCAGCACAGTCTCGACGATATTGTGATCATCGAAAGTCTGCCTGAGGCTGCCGGAGTCTCCATGCGGGGCCTTCTGAGGGCTCTCGTCCATGAGCAAGGCCCAGGCTTCCTCCCTGAAGGGCGAATCTCCGCAGCGACCACACACGCGGTTCAGCTCGTTTTCAAATTCTAGTTTCCCAGCCAACTCTTCAATAGTTCGGATGCTCGTATGGTCTTAAAAAGGAGAACATTCAGCATTACAATTCCAGTGAAAGGTTTCGGGAGACATTTCAGGCACCGGTTAAAACCCACAAACGGGTGGCCACTCTCCAGGGACTTCAGGGCAGGGAGGCTGCCAGACTGAGCGCCCAATTCTAAGGTGGCCTTGGTGCCCACCCCTCCGGCCCTGCCTTTATTGAGCCCAACGACCCGCCAGTCCCCAAGGAAGGTGCAAGTGGGAGGATACAGAGATGTCTTGGCTTGTCCTGGATCTTAGGGAACTCCCTGACCTGCAAGCATGACATGACATCGTGTGAAAAAAAGGGGAGTCTGTAAGGGGAATCAAATGCTGCCTGGGGCTGGCAAGGACTGTGGAGGATGGTGAGCGGAGGCAGAGGACTTCGGCTCCCCTCTCGCGGCCACCGGAGGAGACTCCATCCACGCACGCCGTAGCGTGGCAGGTGTCTTGCTCTGTGGCCTCAGGGGAGCGACTCCTCCCACCAGGCCTCCCTTTCATCCCCCCAGAACCTGAAGGCCCTTCCAGAACCAACAGTTTCAGGCAGCCCCCAAGGCTATGCATCTCTTAACCTGGGGCTGTTTGTCCACTATGCAGTGTGAGTCGTTTGAAAAAAGAGCATACAAATAAATAAAGAGAGCATATATAGTTCACACACAGAATGTACAGATGTGGGGGGAAAAACCTCTGGCAGGATGTCCAGCAATGTTTTGGGGTTTTTTTTTGGGTTTTGTTGTTGTTGTTGTTAAAGATTTTGTTTATTTATTTGACAGAGAGAGACAGAGCGAGAGAGGGAACACAAGCAGGGGGAGTGGGAGAGGGAGATGCAGGCTTCCCGCGGAGTAGGGAGCCCGATGAGGGGCTTGATCCCAGGACCCTGGGACCATGACCTGAGCCCAAGGCAGACGCTTAACGACTGAGCCACCCAGGCGCCCCGGGATGTCCAGCAATGCTAACATTGGCTTTCTCTGGGTGCTCACGTTACAGGGAAGCTTTGGGATTCTAATTTTTCTTCTAATGTTGTATTATCTACCCAAGCTGGACCGCCCCCCACCCACCCCATCTTTGCCTATGTCCTGCCTCCAGACCTGAGCTCAACCACCAAGTCCTGGAGAACCACTGTCCCTTGTGTCCAGGGATTCACTGTAACCAGACATTTATGACCGGATTCATGTGTGACTCCATCAGGCTATCAGCTCCATGAATGCTCTATGCATAGAGCCTGCCATGGGTAAAACAAATTTACTATGTAGATGGATGAGAACTAAGAGAGTGTTTTTTTTTTAAAAAAAAAAAAAACAACAAACACCTGCTGACTCAGGCGCCTGTGTGAAGGACCTATCCTCCCAAGGAGAGGAGAGACCTGTCCTTTGTACTCACCGATCATATCAAGCAGATCCTTTGTGATCTCTTGGCTAGAATTGCTGAGTGGCATGTTTGAGTCAATCTTCAAATCTTTCTCCATATCTTTCCTGCAACCCCCAGGTGGAAACAAAAAGAAGAAGAAAGAAGAAAGAAGAAGAAGAAAAAAAAGTGGAGGATTAGAGCCTCTTTCAAGAAAATATTGCAGGGAACTCAGTGTTAATCTTAAAAACAAAAACATACTGGTAACTTTAAATTGGCTCCCATGCTGTGATTAGAGAGGGCAACTGGAAACTGCTAAGTCAGTGAAGTTGACTAATAGCATCACCCTCATGAGCATCCCCGACAGCGCATTCAAGCCTACAAATGCCCGTATTAACATTTGTTAGAATTGAACCAACTAAATGGCTTCTTCCTTCTCTGCCTCCAGGGCAGCCAAGATGGCAAGACCTTGAAGTTCCATCCCATATGGTCATCCTTGCTCCAATCAAGGTGCCTAGAACCAGGCAGTTTAAACCTACCACGGAGAGGGGCCCCTGGCGGGCTCAGTCAGAAAAGCATGTGACTCTGGATCTCAGGGTGGTGAGTCTGAGCCCCACCTTGGGTATAGAGATTATGTAAATAAATAAACTTTAAAGCTATTGGGGGGGGAAAAGTTTTAGGGGAGATCTTAACGCAGGGATGGTCTAAGACCTCAGGAGGTGGGGTGGGGGAGGGGGGGAGGGGGAGTGAAGGGAGCAGAAGCAAGGATGTAAGCAGGAAGTAGGGCCCATCTGGCCTCTCCCTAGTATGGATGCTGGAACGAAGATTTTTATTTCTGCAGTATAAAAAGTAAAGTGACTTAGAAGTCAGGTTCTCTAACGTTCACTACCCCTGTGGGAACGGCAAAGTGGTTTCTAGGAAGGGGCTGACAGTCCTAGAGCGGAGGCAGAAGCGGCGCCAGACTCAATTTAGGAACTTCAACATTTTCAGAAATGAGAGCCCCCTAATTGTAACTTTTTACACTGTCAAGTTGGAATCACCTTAGGCTGTCTTTTCTCCAGTTCTCCCCATCTCCCGCGGCTCTCCAAAACGGTCTTTCGGGTGCCAAAACGGAGGAATGCATCAGTAGGTTTTCCTTACTGGTCAGAGGTTTTCTTTTCGCGCATGAGGCATGTGGCTTTGCATTCCCTGGGGCATGGTTTGGAGCAAAGGCAGGGCTCTCGTTCTCCGGAGCACACGGGACTGGAATGAAAGGAGCCGCGGAGGAGGAGGCTGCCCGCGGGTGCCTCCTGCCGAGCAGCCGGTGCACAGGGACGGGGAAGGGGAGCGGCGCGGCGTCCAGCTCCAGCCTCCGCCGGCCCGAGCACTCCTGGGAATGACTGACGCCTTCAAAGGCCCGGTCAATGGCCGCAGTCAGCTCCTTTCTGCATCTTCTCAGTTTTTCAGACATTTCCCCTAAAAGCGACCACGTCTTTATTACGTAACACATTGGAAATGCACAGAGCAACACTAGAATATCGTTACGAAGTTGCAAACCACCCCCGAAAGACGCATCTCCTGGAGCTTGATCCACGCCACGGGCCAGAAGGACCCACACGCCGGGCGCCCCCTCCCCAGGTGGCGGGTGTGGCCCGCGGATCTCCGGGAGGAACCAGCGATCGGACGGGAGCCCCAGGGACGCC